GGGGACGAACGCCAGTGCCCCCCAGCCACTTTCTGGTGACATCCCTAAACAAGGGCTTTCTCCTGATCCTTGCTAGTAATCAGAACCCTAAATGCTGAGGTACATGAGGAATAAGGAACCACTGCAGAAGAATGATGCTGTAACTAGGTGGTAACCTACAGCACAACCACAAAGCTGAGCGTCCGACATCTCTGCCAGGCACTGGGATTCCCTGCGATGTAACCTGCTCCGACCGGCTGAGGAGATGCCACAGCTCCGCAGCAAACGGCCGGTGAAGGACGAGCTGATCCCTCTAGAACTGGAGCAGGAAATCAATTACATCAACTGCCACAGGACTGCTTCCAGAGTTAATTAATTACGCCCCGTGGACTCTGAAAAGCCACCGATGTGCTCAGAGCACAGAAGGAGCTTTGGAGATAGAAGGTGAAAAGCTGTGACCTGACAGGGACGGGGAAGTGATGGGAAGTGCCAAAAGGAACCAGGGAAGTCAGGCAGGGCTTCCAAAAGGAACCAGGGAAGTCAGGCAGGGCTTCCAAATGAAACCATCCCAACTTCAGCAAGCATTCTCGCTTTTCTCTTGAGCCTCTAACACTGCTTGGGGCCCTTCTAACCCCAAGCAGCAGCCCCACTCCCAGTGCTGCTCTGTGGCACCTCATCCCCTCGTCTGGAAGTAGTTTTATTGGAAACCGTACCGCAGGCAGCCATGAACCGTCAGAGTAGTGGCGGAATTTGGGTGCGTGGAGCTGAGTGAAATCATAAGTAACTGGAAAGGCCACTGTAAGCAATGTACCTGAATGTCTGTGAACCTTGAAGCTGGAAAAGAAAACCCAGGCTCTTCTGAGAAGTGATAAATCTGTGGTGTGTTCTGAACTCCAACACACACGTCTTGCAGTGCTGGGATCTAGGTGGTCGAGGTATTGATTCCGTTGAAACTGGTAAGAGTTTATGGTTTTCATAATTCATAATCAAATCTTTTACGGCTTTTGCAGGACAAAAGGGAATAGAATCATCTTGGAAGACTTAAAGCGGGAAATGTCACAAAATTAAACCTCTCCCTTAGGATAATAAACCCGTCACATTTCTCCAATAAGCACAGCTGAAGCCATGCTAGCCCTTCCTGCTCAACTGGACACGTACTGACGAAGACTCATTACAGCTCTGACCGCTGCTTCTACTCCTCACGTTGAGCAGTAAACCCGAGGAGTGTGCGTCTATCCAACTGCTTCAGCTGGATTACTGCCAGAGCTGGAAATAACCTGCTCCTCTCAGCAGTCTCCTCTGTTTCAATCAGAGATTGTTTGTCACATAATGATTTAAAGCAAGGCATGAAAGGGAATAAACCCCTTCCCAAGCAAAGGGTACATTGCCTTATTCCCACAGTATCAAGTAACAGCCCTGCCTTAACTGGACTGAGCTTGAGCTAAAACCAGATCATCTTCTGGTTTGCATGTGTTTCAAAAAATATATAGTTTTTAGGCCTTAAGTGATTATGCAATACAAATGAAAAACTAAGAAGTCAGTATGTCTCTTCTCCTAACTCCCTGCTTTGGGGTAAGGTTGGGAAGTACGCAGCAACTCTGAACGTGTAGCTCTTACTGGCTGACGATTTTTGCTACTGAAAGAACAGTTACTAGGACACAGTGTTGCCCTCATCCTGGTAGATCTCACACTCAGACATCTGGATGGTGAGGAAGATAACCCAGCCCTAATTAAAGGGGACTCTGCTGCGAGCCAGCCCTAAATGGCTGAGACCTCTGAAACGACACCGCGTGCTTTCCTAAGAAAGTGCAAGTGTAAGCACTGGCAGAGGCGTATCGCCCTGCTAAAGCTCACCAACGTGGACTGCTCCATGCCGCGAGGCTGCACCAGAACGCACCCTGCAAACGTACCCCCAGATGAACAGGTTCCCTTTTACAAGGCGCCTCAGCGTTCAGAAAAACAAGGCTCCTAAAAAGCCACGAAATGTAGAATCTTCCAGACTTGGGCAACAATGTTGTGGCTACAGAACTGCACTGGGCGCGGAACCCTCGTGAAAGGGAGCGCGGGGTTAGGACACTGACTCTTAGACTCTTGTGAAAAGGGTGAGATTTCAAGTCTTCCACAGATTTTTCCACTTGGAAGGATGAACCAAATTAAATTTCCACATTTCAAATGTTATCACAGAACCAACCATAAACAGAGTGAATGCTGCAAGTGGAGCGTGTTCACTTTCCTAAAGTATCCCTAGCTCTGCGTCTCTGGAACAGTAAAATACAGAGCATTTTACTGCTGGAGTCCGGAGTGGAGTGCAGAAAGCAGGCTGCCGAGTAATTAATTCCAACTGTCAGGCACTGGAATCGCTGTTGGTGTGGAGAGTCGCTCTGTTTCGGAGCGGCGTCAGCATGGCAGCAGGATGTTCTTTTGCAGAAGCACAGAAATCAGACGTTCTGCAAACCCACTGACTTCCTGGCCCACCGGTGCCGCTGCAGGCAGCCGTGACGCGCCCGCACGACAAACTTCCTGCCTCTGAAATGGGGAAGGTGTCAGAGGGGGAAGCTGCTCAACCCACAGCTTAGGCAGGCAGAATGGCAGCAGACCTCCAACAACCCCTGGGCCTCCTGAAAGATGCCTGCAGAGGACAAAGTGAGGCTTGCAGGGTGAATTAACTCTGTCGGTGCACCGGTTTTATTGTTTCTTTGCTTTTGTCTTAAAGCACTGGTGAACTCAGGCTTAAAGAAGGAAACATGAACGTTCCAGACCTGTCTGAACAGTTCTAAAATGGATACTATAGTAAACCTTTGCTACATGTTTCTTTTTCAGATCCTCCCTTTTCTACTCGTGCTAGGCATGGAGCTACTCTAAACTGATTCTACGTGGCCTGAGCTGGGGCACGGAGTACAACGCAGGCTCTGATTTTCAGTGAAATGTGGTTTAAGTACAATGCAGGCTCCGATTTTCAGGGAAATCCCGTTTACTCTGGGAAATAAAGCACTTGGGCAGGTGTGGTTCTGAAGAGCCTCTTCCTGAGGGACAAGCCTTCCAGGTGAGCGCTTTGAAAGAGCTGCAGGTTTCAGGTGAATGCAGTGGGAGGAGGAAAAAAACCACCTCGTGACAACAGGTTCTTGTAACAGTGACCCTCATTCCCACGCTAGACAGCTGGTCTAAGTGTACGCCTACAAACAGGGACCCCGCTTCTGCCTCCAGCTCTTTAAGCGTCTGCCAAATTACGCAGGCCGCTTCCCCTCCTGTGCTCTCAGACCCGTACCACCGTAACCCCCAACACGGCACCGCTCCAGTTTCATTTTCATGTTCCCATCAAATGCACTGACGACCTCAACTGCAGCAGATGAACTGAAGTTCAGCCGCACGACACCAGGCAGAATACAGTACACACCGCCGGGCAGGTTTCAGCCATGTGCTAAAGACCACACAAACGCTGCTCTGGAGTAGTTGTAGCGATGCTCACGTCACCTCACATATTAACGAAAGGATGAATTGCACCTTTAAAGCTCCACCTGCTGTTGCACTGTAATGAAGCTGAAATTGGCTGTTTAAGGGAAAAATGAAGGTTGGCTCCAGGCCCGCAGGATCCCTGAAGATCTATGAGCCTTGATGCTCCCTCCAGAACGTTAAGAAACAAAGCAAAAAGCGACACGTGATAGTTTTATGACATAAGGAAGAGTAACGGTGGCAGCTGGGGAAGCAGAAAACGTGGATCCACGCTCTGGATGTGTTTAGGAACCGAACGGGCTGGGCAGCACCTTTCACAGACGCCGCCGACTTTGCTGAGCTGGGAAATAAACCGAAGAGCAGAAAGCGCATTCGCACGCACAAAGACGCGCCGAGGCACCTCGGCTGCCCCAGGCAATCAGGAAATGGAAACGCGAAGCGTTGCGCTGGTAAGTGACGGCTGGTCTCTGGCCGGCCGGCCCCTCAGCCG